TAGTAGTAGTAGTAGTAGCAGCATGGAGTAATTACGTCGTAGTGGCAATCACATGAAACGTAAGGTACACGCAGATCTTCACCGCTGTGCGACCTGGACTCTTGGGCTGTGGACTCAGCTCAGGCGAGTCAAAGACCTTGTCTCGGTTTAGGGGTCGCGAATACTGATTTTGCAGAGGGCCAGCTTGCATTGAACAAATCCGGATGAACTGAAACTGTGCACCGGATCTTCCCGTCTGGGTGCGAATTGCCGGAGCATTCTGGACTAACTGAGGACAGATCCGAGAAAAGCGACACAGGCTCGAGGGCAGCACTTCGCCGCCGCCAGCGCCGAAGAAGAGGCAAGGCAGATGCCAGAGTGTTTGCAGGTGATGGGGGCTCCAGGTGGGATTGTATCAGACTCCGCTTCACCTGGCCCCAACAGTTTTTGCAGAGTTTTCGCCAACTTTGCCAGCCTTTGTGACAGTAACTCTTTGATTCTGGAGGGGGAGACAGACAAAGCGTGGCAAGGATACCCTGTCTTCGGGCAGACCTGCATGGACTGCCTTCAAACCCTCAACCTTGCTGGGAGCTGCCCACGACTAGTTCAGAACCTCCCAGTCCACTGATCTGTGAGAGTACGAACGTTTACAAGAAACCGGTCCACATCCTAAACCGTTTGGCTTCCATTCAAAACCCCAACCCTAGAGGCCTACTTAGGGAAGATGGTACTTCTTGCTCTGAAATCGCAGGGCACGGCCGGCGAACACCTGTCGGCTACCTCCCCCGGAGCCTCTGCCTGCGCCCGGCACCAAGTGCTTTGTGGCCTAAGCTTTCGAGTTTATAGTGACTCGTGACTAGGATTAGCTTCTTGGGTACAGGATGAGTCCTGGCTTCTTTTGCATTTCAGATGGAGGGCGATCGAGTTATAGGCTTGAAGTTGCTGAAGGGGCCAACAGGGCGCGGTGTTCAGGTGTTAAAGTTCAGGGTTCAACGTTGGAGGCGACTCGGGAAAGTAAGAACAAAGAGAGCACATATAGGCTGTACATATGTTTGAGCTGAGGAGTTATAAGCCAAGGGTTCATGGCGTTGGTTTGGTCTTTACGAGTTTTGGGATTGCAGCTCCAGGATGTGGGTCTCTGTGCGTTCGTCCGTAGAATTGCTGGCCTAGATTGCAACACAGACCACACTAATCCCCAACTCAGAGCTTCGGGCTGACCGTAACAAGAAGCGCTCCGATCCAACTGCTTCGGTTTAAGCTGTGCTTCTGTCTTCCCTTCCTTTGGTCTGTTTTGAATCCTAGAAGTTCGCAAAACAGTCATCTTTCAAGGCCTCGCAAAGCGCTTTCGGCGGCCTCGGCGACGCCGCGCAAGGCAGGGGTGCCAAAGAGGCTGCTGTGGCTGTCAGAAGTCTCTAGCCCCAGGGCCACAGGTGGCGTCCATACCGCCCTATTCGAGGTTTATTTAGTGGACTTGCGATGCGAAGGACTGCCTGATGTAAGCTTAACGCACACGTAGCGACGGGTAGTGCAAGGTGGAGGTGACACCATTCTCGGGCTCATTCGTTGGCAGGGCGCGCAGTTCCCCGCCACAAGACAGTCATGCCCTGTACCCAGCTTCAGGCTTCTGTATGCATCGTGTTGGTATTCCATTCTTCAGGCAGAATAAAGCTCGGACCAGAAATCTCGGGAGAAGTGCTGCGAAGAGCGTTTGCGCTGGGGAAGAATAACCCCGGATCTTGCCAAGATCTGGCGGCCACACAGTTCTTCGATCCGGCGGACACCGCGACTTGGATGAAGCATCTGACGGCTTGGCATCCTCTGCTTCCGAAGAGCAGTTCATAGCCCATGAAGCTAAACATAGGCTCAGTCCTGCCTGCAAGCTGCAGGCTGTTTCCTCTTGGTTCTGAGTCCTGAAGAGCTTTCAAGCAAGTAGAGACAGCAGTGGAAGTTAACAAAGAAAGTCTGTATATACATATTACCTGTGTAAGAATACTTAAACAGAATAATGTAATATACATATATATATGTATACATACATATGTATTCTGTGCCGGATTGGAGGCCCTCCCGGTCTTCAGCCGGGGCAGTTAGGTGCAGGTAGCATCAGTTACCCCAATAAGGGCCATTTGTCTGGAAGCAGTGCAAGGCTAACAGACAGTGACTATTGAAACTCAGGCCAACGCAGAGGAAGGTGGGCAGCTTGCTGTGACGGGATTTGAGTTCATTTTACAAAGAGCTTCCCAAGCGTGGTTGCCCACCAGTGTTCCGAAATGTAACTACATACATGGATTGGTCTGGCGTCTGGGTTCGGATCTGCGAGAACCGCAGCAATGCACGAAAAAGCCGCTCAAGTTGTGTGGTTTGCCAACTTGTCAGGTTGAAGATCGAGAAAACTGAAATGGCGAGTGTAAGGGCCCTCCTACATCATATCTCTCCTTCTCAACACGAGCACATGGACCGACCACCAGGCAGCTGTTTGTGGAAGCGGCGGCCTCAGCATCCCAGGGGGCTTCACGGAGATAGCCTTACAAGCGGCAAGGTTCCAACCAAGATCGGGACATCGGCTTTGTTTCGGGAAGGAATACAAGAAATCTGCATCTGACTGTGTCTAGCCGGAATCTAGCCTGGGGTCGTCTAAGCCATGCCTGTGATACATAACACTTCGCATCATTTCACGCCGCGGCTATGAAGCACGGTCAGCAACGACAAAGGACGAGCCCACACACCGACAGGCACGCACACACACGCACGCGCACACACACACACACACACACGCAGACAGACACAAACCAGGGAATGGCAAAGCCACCGAAGGGAGGGTTCAGGTAGATCCCGTGGCTAACTTACGTTTGCAAACTGTCAGTGACTGAAAATGCAAGGAACGGCTGCATGGCCCGCATGAGGAGGCGGGCGGTATGATCGACAGACTGCCTCAGCGAGCCCTTTTTCAATGACTCTGCGTCGCACGAGCTCCCCTTGCGTCAAGATTTCGTTTTTCCTGCAGCAGTGAAAGCGGCCCCATACACCGTCCTAAACCCAATCATCTGCTAAACCGACATCATCTGTAGATGTGGCAGACTCCTGGATCCGTGTCACCAAATTATGCATAGAGCACACTGCCAGGCACGAGCGCTGCATCTACGGCGGACGCATGCAGTCGACATCTCGGCGGGCTTTGCCGTCACCGAGCAATTGGCCGCAGAATCTGAAGATAACATTAACGGAGTCATGCACCGTGTCTCTGTATATTGATCAACGCAGGTCGAAGCCGACTTGCTGACTGATTGAATCTGTAGCCATCGCAACAGAACAGTAAACAATTGCAACTGGAGAAATTAATCCGGTCAGTGCCACGTAACGTACATCATCATCATCATCATCTCTTAAGTCTCCATGCCCAGGTCAGAGACACCTATAGTCTCCATTGTAGTTCCATTCTGGGGATACCTTATAAAAATCCTTAATATATAACTGGTTGAACAAAGGAACTACATGGAGACTCGAGGTAATGTGAGACTTGCACTCTAAGGCCCTCGGTGATCTCCCTGGTGGATCGCGTGTTGATCGGCTAGCGGCCTCAGTCGACTCCAAGCGCCGCTTTCTTTCAGACATTTTTTCGGGCCTGTTTGATTGCAACTTGCCACTATACCCGAAGACATCTGAAATTCAGCTCCTCGTCCCGGTGCTCATGCACAAGTGTTGTAAAGCTTAATTGACGCCCACGCCCGGCCGGCACCCATAAGGTTCGCAAGGACGCATTGCAGATCTTATGTAAGATTTCAAGCTGTTTATTGGCAGGCACTTCTGAGCCAAACAAATGAGCCCCATTCTGCTGCACTCAGCCCAGTTTTGACTGGTTGAATGCTCACCTAGGCCGGGGCGAAGCCTGTGATGCAGACGGCCCAGGTTGTCGTTTGCATCCAGAGGTCAGTTTTTGTTCGAGCTTTCCAGCGCGGTGCAGGGTCACTAGTGGGGGGCTTCTGGCTTCGTCCATGTGCTGCATTACATTCATGGAAACATTCCCTCTAGCACTTTCACACGCCTTCAAGACGTAAACAGAAACAACAAGCACTGCACTTGGCACGTGCACGTCTTGGAGAATGGACCCTGCATTTGTTCGCATACAAGTCATCCGGCCCCTAACTCCGAGAATCACATCAGGTCATCCTAGACTCATCGCTGACTCCACAGATGATCTCGTCGGAGCCTCGATGGCTGCAAGCTCGTTTTTCCTTTTGCTGGGACGTTTGATAGTTGCATCGAGGACCTTCCAGCTTTGTATGTAGGTCTGTATTTCTGATTCGTAATCATAGTAGCCGCCTCATAGCCATAGCAATGGCCATAATCGTATAATGGATTGGTTCTAGAATTCTAGACCACCCAAAAACCTACTCTAATCATTAAGGCCTTCATGAATCCGACCGGAGGCGATCACATGCCGTGGTGACCGTGGAGGATGAGAGTTGCATGATCGAAGCCTCCCGGCCGAAGTTGCCAGACGATGTTTACTTTAGGGGAGCTGGCAGACAGGCCCAGTGTCGACCTGAGTTTGTTCGCTTCCGGCTTTGTAGATTTTCCCATTGAAGCCGTCATGTATGACAGTCAATATTGCACAGACCCGATCTGCTAAGGGTGTTTGATGTCCTCTACTCTATATGGATGTAAGTGTATGTCTCACCGTCGGTGTTCCAGCTGTTGCCACTGCAGGCTAACTAAGCTGTAAGCCTCGGTAGTGCATGTATAAAATTGAATGAGTATATGTGTATATAAGCAATCCCTATCCCCTGAATTAAACCGCACCCCCTCTCGTCTCTGGTGCCACTTTTGGCCGTACCTTGATCTTGCACCTGCTGGTGCTCTTGCTCCTGCCCTTGCTCTCGTTGCTGCTCGAGCTCCCAAACCGAGGACCAGGGCTCTCTCAACGGCGTGCACATCAACGGTACCCGCATCAGTTCGAAGCAGGCTCCATTCCTGTTGTGCTAACTGCCACAGCCATGTAGACGCCGGGAGTCACACAGACACTAGCCTTCGTTCGTTTCAGCTGCGCTGTGGGTTCATAATCAGGTAGTTCTTTGCAAAGGGACGTTGCAACGGCACCGTGGAAGGTGACCGGAAACAAGCCAAGCTGGCTAATGCTGTCTGTAATATACTCAAGCAAGTCCTCCTAAACTCAATGATCGAAACCCTCATGTAAATATTGGAAGCTAGTCTCAACTCGCCAAAACCCCATCCGATCTTGGCATAAATTGGAAAAATCAATGTCTGTAGGCTTTGCTAGGCAAGCAGCACTTACCAGTCTTGCTTTTGACAGTATCTGGAGCTGTGGGCCTTACGAAAGCTCGGTGGAAGGCTCTGAAGCATGGCGACGTCGTCACCTTCGGGGTGCCTTCGCCACAGCCGGAGTACCCTGGCGCCATCGCGGAAACTGAACGTACGGTTGTTCACTCAATCAGATTGCTCATCTAAGCCAGCAGCAGGGACAGTACTGAGCTGGTAAGGCCTGAGCTTCTTCCAGTACTAGCGGTCGTCCGAGTCTAACTTCATATTATGCGGCTTTAGCTGCAAGCCGTTGTTGAACGCGAGCCCCACTACGAAACAAGTGATTAAAGTGATGACTGTAATCATGCCTTATGCCTGCAACGATGCAAGTACGATCACTACTGCGTTTTACCGCGGTAACTGGAGCTCGTGGGATCAGGTTCGACTATATCTTCGAGATGCGCAGCTGAGGGCAAGTGTCCGTGCCACGTGATCAGCGCTGTGGCATGGTAAGAACAGGCCCTCCAGAGTAAGCAGCCTGAGACTACGGAAGCATGCGCCTCCACTTATACATTGAAGGGCAAAGGCGAAACACATACACAGCCAGGCGGCAAACGTTGAAAGCTCGGACATTTGTTTAAAGCGTTCACAAAGTGTGACATCTTCTGGGCTCCGCAGTGGAAACTACTTCGTAAATGCAGGAAGTTCCTTGCTTCATAGGTAGCTTGTCATAGCCATGTTGCAGAAAGTGGTTAGAGTCATGATTCCACACTTGGAAATTTGGACCAGAGTTTCTTGGAGAAAGCGGTTCAGGTATCGTTTTCCATCTCCCACATGTGCAGCGCTGTTCACAATGGCCGCAGATCGCTTGGGGTGAAACTCAAGGGGCAAGCAAGGCAGTCTTTGCAGATCCCGAGTCCTATAATTGCCTACCGGTCTACAGGACAATAAAACAGAAGGGCCACCAAGTAGGAGAAGATATGGACTGCCTTGCATGACTGGGTGTGACTCCATGGGGTAATGGAGGTAGGTTTTGTGTTCGTGCGCGTGGCACGAACATGCTCCCTCCCTCTCTGCCGGGCCGACATGAGATGTCATAATGCATGGATGTGTAAAGCTTTCGAGGATCCTGGCAGCTGAGAGGAAGGATCGGGAGCTTTGGCTGTTTTTGGCCAAATTAGGTCGACAGGCGTTCTTGCAACCGCACATCAATTCGGAGACTGAGAACGAGCGTCGTACCGACTACTTGTCACTGTGAAACTATGGGTAACCATAACTTTGCAATCTTCTGACAGTGTTGATCCGATTTGTTTCGCCATGGTTTGCTAAAGATCGTACACGGATCAGTAAAGCCGTTGTGCTACAGGGATGAGCGGATTGCGAAGCCTGTGTCATCTGGGCACTCCCAAAAGGGGTGACGCAATTACGTGCAGTTTCTCGGCTGAGCAGACTGCTCAGACAGTACAGCTTGTAGGACGACAGCGTCCCACGTCGTCACAGTCCAGGAAGGGGTCAGACAGTGGTTAGAGCTAGCATGGACAAACACTGCTACTGACCGGTTTCAGGCGTCTCATGAAGCTCACCAGTGCGAAGTTGTGAAGTGAAGTTAGCTAACCCCCACCCCCTGCATTGTGAAAGTTCAAGCCCTAGGATCGAGGCCGAGTCCCCCTACATGGAGGTCGTTTACTGAGACCCAGCGCAGCATACCATTACCGGGCATTCCCTAGGAGATCTAGGAGACTCTAGTCTTGCCCTGCATGAGCACTTTAGCTCCGGCATCGAAGCTCCCCGCTTGAACTACATTCAGCTCTGCCTTCTTCTTGGAGACACAGCTGAGGTATGGGCTTTGGCTAAGGTCACGGCTACAGCATCCGACGTCGCGGATATAGCAGGGCCCCCTGGAACAGCAGATAAACGATTCAGGGCCTGGTTTGACAATCGAGCTGTGTAGCACATTGCCATATCAGCTCAAGCATGTTAGTGCCCAGCTCTCAGATGCTGACAATGACAAGACGACGATCCTGACACAAGCTCGCACACACACAGAAGCAGTCCTCGTATAGTCGTTTGAAGATGTCGCACGAGTGAAGAATCGGTGCGACCTGCCAGCTCCGTCGCCCTCGCAGTGTTCATCAAGCTCGTGCAAACCGTCACGAAGACTTCTGGAATTCCAGGTGCATTGGCCATGCAGGTTTCGACTCCGCGTGTGGCTCCCTGCGTTCCATGCTGGGAATTCCGGGTCAAGCCGCCAGACATGTGGATGCAATATCCAGCAGATGCTGCAGCCAGCCTGGAAGAGGCCTATCAAGCTGGGCAGCCTACATGCAAAGTATGCATTCACCAGTATGAATACAGCATCTTCTTTCCTGATATGGATCAAACGAACCTGGTGACAGGCAAAATAAGGCCTATTCGAAGAACGGAAAGCACAGACGAACATGCTGCACATCCTCAGCCGGAAGTTCTGCAAAGCCATGCGGAGGAATGTAGTGCGATGCGCGATCAGATCAAAGCTCTGGAAGAGATGAACGGGCAGCTGATACAGCAGTTAGACGCGAGTCGCAAGAGCCTGGCGCAAGAACGAAAATTGCGCAAACACAATTTGCAGCTGTTGATTCAGATGGGGAGGCAAGCAATTGCCAGACGACCCGATTGTTCGACCGCGACACCTGCCGTGAGTCATCGTGAGCTGCGGCCGGATGGCTGCACGGACGAGGTCAAGAGAAGTGCAATATATGCAGTGTTGATGCGGTCTATGGCCTCTCACCGAAAAGAAATCAAGTCGCTGGAGTGGTGTCCCCCGCCAGAAGTCGTAGTTACGAGGTTCGTCGAAGTCAAGAATCCAGTCAGGCAGGGATTGTACGAAGCAGGGCTGCATGAGGTGCTACAGCGGAATCCCAACGGATGTTCTCCCATACCTGACATAACGGCTCTCAGTTGTCATTGTGCTCAGTTTGGATCTATGGACTTGAACGAGTTCCTGCTGTTCCATGGCTGCCCGCTTCATACCTGCGAGCAGATAGCCAGTCGAGGTTTTGATCCCCAGCGGGGGGGCGAAGTTGTCGGCGCGATGTTTGGCAGGGGGACTTACTTTGCCCAGAACGCATCGAAGTCTGATTTCTACACTACCTGTTCGGAGTGTTCAGGTGACGCCGCTCATGGTGATTGCTCGCATCCTCACGGGGAGCGATGTCTTGTGCTGGCACGCGTGCTTCTCGGACAAAGCTTGCCTGTGACGACGGAAAAACTCAAAGGAATCACCAGGGCACCAGAGCGTCAGGATGGTGAGCCGTACGACTCCATTACTGCCCTGACAAGGGAGCATGGTGGCAGGGTAGACCACATGGAGTTCGTGATTTTCAAAGAACAAATGGCATTGCCTCAGTACCTCATCTACTACCGCCATGCAGAGGATTGTTGGTGTCACAACTGTTGGCGCCGATGGCCAAAGCACTAGTGGAGCTGCGCTTGACTTGAGTAACGGGCACCAGGCCACTGCCGTCTTCCAGAAACCACCAACCCGGTGCTGATGGATGCGAGGAAGTTTTCCGCAAGCCAGTTGCCTTTACAGTTTAGATAGTTTGGGAGTCAGTGTTGAGACGCGTGGAAACCACGTACTTCTGGTGTTTCACCTATTTCGACATCTTCACCCTGGAGATTTACAAGTTTCCCGTGAAAAAGGCTCTGTGGACTGGATGTCTTGCGTGCATAAAACTCCAGGTCCGCGACCGAAGACCGAATAAACACGTGTCATGATTCATGATGCTCATGTTGAGTGGAAGTCATTCACCCCGCCAGTCTCAGCAAGTAGCGGTTGATTCCTGGACAAAGCACTCTTACAACGGCAGCGACATGTCCGGAAGCTCTGTGAATCATACTCCCCATTTTCAGTGTTTCGTGTTCTGCAGGTCTCTGCAACGATGAGTCGCGTGCAAGACCTCGCACCGCAGCACATCGCGAATGTCGCGTGGGTCCGCTTGGGTGCACCTGTTCTCAACATAGGAGGCGTGTATGTATTGTTCAATGGTTCGTGTGACCACGGCGTGCTTGCACCGATTTACCTAGCTCTCTGAAGCCTTGCGAACATCGCATGGGCTGTCCTCGGCTTTTCGGGAGGCGATGGCGAAGATGTCTGCGAGCAGTGCAGAGCGATGTGAGGCCTTTGCCAGGCTCATGCCTAAGCAGGATCTGGGATTGGGACCCAGAGTGCGGGTGAGCACATGATGGGTTCTCCAGGGTTGGGATTTGAGCCTTGGAGGCTCACCTAAGCAACGACGGGCGAGCGTTTTGATTTAGCCCGTCGTGCATGGAGAAGTGTTGTTTCTGGGACATGGGAGTTTGCAAACTATCTATGGCAATTTCGCTGCTTAGCTCATTGGCTCTTTCGTACTTCTGTGTGTGTGTGTCAACGGCATTGCACAAAGGTTCTGTTTAGTCCTCCGAATTTTACTTGTGAGATTGTGAGAGCTCCATTTCTTGATATGCATGTGCAAGCAGATGCACGTTCTGGATGTACTGTACGGCATGAAGCTCAACCGTCGTTTCCAGATAGCCGCTTCGACCCGGCCTGACCTATAAGAGTTGGTAATTAGTGCGTGAGCCCTTTGTCGCAGGCCAGCCTGGGAGGCCCAGCAACAATTCAAACCGCAAGAGGCGTGGCAGCCTCATTGCGATTCGCCCCTGCATCAAGTCTGAACTTGACGAGGTGCAGAACACACAAACGTGCACAGCAAAACGCTCTGAACAGCCCAGTGTACAGCGTCAGATCGATAGCTTGGACAGATCGACAGTGACTTCACGATGTGTGGTCTTGCACGGCCTCCGACTGCAGATGTGAACTTGGAAACCGTCGTGAGTATCAGCGGGGCGTTGTCATATAAGACTACCCATATTTCGGGAATCGTCTTGACACTTGATCACAGCCCAGGTGCAATTTGCTTTGGGCCGGCTACTCAGGTTCCCACGATCCCAAAGCTCAACCGGTGGTTCTGGCAGAGGATTGCAGGAAGCCCGATGATGTTGTGGTAGGCTGCCGTGTTTCGGGAGCAGGCTTTTGCTGCTACCACCGTCCACGTAAGTTTGGCCGGCACGTTTTCAACTAGTAACTACTGGGTCGAAGTGGTTTATTGGCCCGAAGGCCCAGAAGATAACCCAATCGCGCTGTGCCTTGCAGAACCCGCAAGATTCACGTGTTTGGTACATAACTATCTATAGTTCTGTAAGCTGTGCCCGGAACACGAAACGCGAAGGCACGCTCGCATGAGCGTATACATCTTAAGCCGTCCTTAAGATCGAAAATCATCCAAATCCGAAGGTGCACTTGCAATCAGATATAATGAATGGTGTGCAAATGTGGATGGTTGTATGTGTGGCTGCCAATGTGTCAAGGTTGGCTTACCTCCCCCACGCCTCCGAGCCGAACAAGGGCTTATTAGCTGATTATGAATAAGCTCAGTATATGCCGTAGGCCAAATACCCTATATCAAAGATGGTGCAGGGATTTAAGGTTGTTCTACG